CCCTTGTGATGAAAGAGTCACAGTCAAGCATGTCTTGCTTGACTGCATTGAATATTCCATTACAAGGAATAACTATTTCAAACTAAAAACTATGAAGGATCTTTTTAATAATTTCAGTTCTCATTTAATTATTGCATTTTTAAAAGAATTATATTTGTTAAGTGATTTGTAAATAGATATATATTTTATTATTGGTAGTTTAAATTAGTAACTGAGATTGTTAGTGGCTGTACCCTCAAAGGGGGTTGAAGTAGCGTAAAATTATTGTCCTCCTGCGAGGGTACGTAAGTCCCAAAACACTTCAAGTCAAGTTAAGTGTACCAGGTTTTTAATCGTAGTATTTTTGTGTTCTTAATGTATGGCTAAATCTCAGCATCAACGCCAATGGCTGAAGGGATGGTGTAAATCCAACTAGGGTCCATGCAGGTAGCTAACGTAATGTAAGTCCCCATGGTCCCTAGTATGGTGATCTACCTTCAGTGTTTGGCGATCTGTAGCCCGTATTTTATATTGTGTTGTCTTCTTTGATTAGAATATTTTAACTTTGCTCGCTAGTTTTATATTTATATCTGTGATTCTCTAGTCTTTTTACTGTCCATCGTCGACAGGTTTTAATCTTCAAAATGTTTCCACTTTTTATTGTATGGCTTGTTTTCGTCACGATATGGCTGAGATATTGCCGATGTGACGTTAAATAGTAACTCACTCAGTTCATGTGTAAACAGTACCTTTAAACAGTAGGGTTATTTGGCCAAACCTAGTTTAGAACAGTTGCCTTAAGTACATATATTTACACTAGTGAGTCTAATCTTTGGATGGGAAGTATATATCGATCTATGTAATAACATCACACTTGTCTGTTACGAGCATCTTAACGAACACATCACACTGAAACACAAAAATAACGTGAGAGATGTTACAACAACTAAGACATATTTGCCATTGATTTCTAATTGTCGCATTTCTTCGTTTTGAACAATGATTACTGATCGAACTGACACGTATTTAAAGGGCAATGTTGGTTCTATTTTCCAATCAGACAAATCACATTAATTTCTCTTATCTTAGTATTGAACCAAACGAACCCGTCCACACTGAATGTCAAACTCATTGGTCTGTATTTAATGCTGGATATACTAGTATTGATAGATTTATCTTTACTTCAAGTCTCGCAATTCTGTTTAGCAATGTCTGTGCGCCTGCCTTCCTGCATCACATCTGTCGCTAAAGAACACTCAAATGAATACAAGCTCAATATTATTGCCAATAATGTGAGTAATCCTGGCTTGTGTCTGCAGGGTATAACACTGACTAGGTGGTCCATGTGGATGAAAGCTATCGGCTGTTATACAAGTATCTTCAACTGAAAGAACTCCGTTTGTCACCCCGTCAATGTTTGGGAAGGTTAATTAAGAGGTGGGAAGCAGATTTCGCAGGGGTAGTGTCAAGAGAGCGTTGAAGCAGATGGAGAACGTTGAAGCTGATCCATGTCCTGGAGGACATTATACTGCCTCCACAAAGGTGAGGTTAACGTCGTGCTTGAGGATATTTCGCTCATATGACGACGTGCATGCGTGTGTATGTGTATGTGCGGCTGCTTGTACTAGCCCAGACTTAAGCTGGTTTTATAGTGCTAGCCCACTGAGATACCAGGCCGCAGTGAAGCATGAATACCCCACTCAGACATATTGTACTGACTCTGAGCCGACCAGTCCATGTTGTACCCATTAATGCCAAGCGCCAGGTCGGAACCAACAGGTACCATATTTTAACGTCTTTTGGTGTGACGCGGTCGGGGATTGAACCCACGACCTTCCGCTCTCCGGGCGGACGATCTAACCACTACACCACTGAGGCGGTCGCCTCCACAAAGGAAACTGCTGGTACAAATCACTTAGCAAAGGTACTGTAAGTCTGCATGGTCCCTAGTTGGTGATCTACCTTCTGTTGCTGGCGATCTACAGCCCATTTTAATGTTGTAATGTCCTAAATAGTATATGATTTTAAGTTAGATGCTAGTTTTAAATCTCTAACTGTGGCACACTTGTTGTTTTACTGTCCTTTGGCGACAGTTTTTACAAAAATAAAATTATAAAGTATTTACTGTTTTAGTCACGATATGGCTTTAAATTGACTTTAAATTTGAACTCATTCACTCACTCACCCACTAAACATCACTACACGTGACTACAATTGGCATGCTTCATTAAAGCGTCGGGAACATTCCGAGGGATATACTGGGCATGGCACTGACAATTCACAAGTGACGAGGAATATACTGGGCATGACATTAACAATTCACAAGTGACGAATATTATACTGGGCATGACAATAACAATTCACAAGTGATGAGGAATATACTCGGCATGACATTAACAACAATTCACAAGTGACGAGGTATATACTGGGAATGTCATTAACAACAGTTAACAAATGACGTGGAATGACGGATTATCTGTCCCGAGTGAATTCAATGTCAGATAATTATTTCCACTATCATCAGAGCGTATTTGCTTTGGACTTTCTAAAGTTTTGTTGTTTCAAATTGCAAGTTGGCAGGTGACCAGTCGACCTTCGTTCACTTATAGGCACCCTTTAAAAGCAATCTCCTCGTGGTGGATGCTGGGTAACGCTAACAGCTCTTCACCCCCGCGTGAACCCGGGGGCATATAGGTCCACAGCACCCCATTGCTGGTCGTAAGACCGAATTGGGCAACCTGTTTTTCGTGGGTTGGTGGAGGACGGGATTCTGGTGGTTGAGGGCAATAGGAGCCTGGACCGTGTTCCTTTTGCCCAACACACCACTTTGGCCCTCACTTCACCTAGACGGGTGGCAGAATTGGCCCGATTCTATCAATCGGCTGGTCACGCCAAGCCCTGTGCATAGAAAATAGTTTGCACATTTATCTTCTTGGCCATTTTGATTATCAATGTTCAAATTACTATTATATTAAATTGTCAAGAGTCCTATGCCAAAGGGCGGTGGCTCATGGGCTATTCTTGTGATAATGACCTCCAAATAATGTATATTTCCAATTTATTGTTATGGGCCGAACCAGTCTAACATTAAGTTGGCACATAAAGGCAGCTATTTGTGTCATTATCTCTGGAGTATAACACCCCTGTATACCTGGTGTCAGCATCCTGGATATCCGTTGCTATTTCGACACTGACCTTGTTCATATTCCATGGTGGGTGGGGGGCAGGGTGCCGAATTATTTTCTTTTCATCGTGTTACCCACGAAATGAAAAACAGGGAAGCCTGGACGAAATACATCCTCCAAACGTTGAAGTCCCAAAACATTTCCAGTCAATTTAAGTGTACCAGGTTTTTAATCGTAGTATTTTTGTGTTCTTAATGTATGGCTAAATCTCAGCATCAACGCCAATGGCTGAAGGGATGGTGTAAATCCAGCTAGGGTCCATGCAGGTAGCAAAAGTAATGTAAGTCCCCATGGGCCTTAGTATGGTGATCTACCTTCGGTTGCTGACGATCTATAGCCCGTATTTTATATTGTATTGTCTGCTTTAATTGGAATATTTTAACTTTGCGTTAGTTTTATATTTATAACTGTGATTTTCTAGTCTTTTTACTGTCCATCGTCGACAGGTTTTAATCTTCAAAATGTTTCCACTTTTTATTGTATGGCTTGTTTTCGTCACGATATGGCTGCAATATTGCCGATGTGACGTTAAATATTAACTCACTCACTCACTCACTTCAAACGTTGACTCCTGGGCTAGATTCTTCTGACTATCTACCCATTAAATATAATCCATTCGCTATTTCCAAAGCTATCCATGGGATTTGTGGAAAAGTTCGAACTGTTAACCGTCTCTGTAGTGGTTCACTTCTGGTGGAGTGTGCACGGAGCAATCCCTTAATCTATTGCCTGTTTGCCAATGTAGAGGTTGCTGTGTCCGTGCACAAGATTCTCAATTCTTGCCGTGGTATCATACGAGACGGAGCTCGTTGTCTCTGACATGTCAGAGGAGGACATAGCTGCAAAACTTGAAGATCAGGCCATAACGGTGGAACGTTTCACTATGAAGACGGCAAAATTATAAATACTAACACTTATCTCATGACCTTTGCTAGATCATGTCTTCCGCAGTCGATCAAAGCAGGTTACGCTAACATTGGGGTGAATGTGCATGTCCCCAATCCACTCCGGTGTTATAAATGTCAACACTTTGGACATGGGTCCAAATGATGGGTACACGTATTGTGATGGTGCATCCGAAGGCTAAAAATATTCATATAAACAAAAAAATCATTATATGATTGATTGAGTTTATTTTTTACGCAATATCACTGCGATGAACACAAGGAATGGGCCTCACACATTGTACCCGTGTGGGGAATCGAACCCCGGTCTTCGGCGTGACGTGCTGACGCTTTAATCACTAGGCTACCCCACCGCCCCATTACAGAGAGTCACGTACATTCTCATGTAACCATAACATACTTAACTGTGACATGATCGCCGTTATACAACTGAAAAATACGATGGTAAAGTATACCCACTCATAAAGTATACTCACTCATTATTGGTGCCCACAAACACAGAAGGTATAATTATATTCTGATGTACTACACCAGTAACGGGGGTCATTTGTGAATCAATCATGGTAGCAATTAGGAGGAAACAAATTACCCAAGGCAGATTGATAATTTCGATTTTTAGCAAGGCAAATCAGACTACATTGCCGCGCCTTAGTGATGAAACGATTGGTGGAACAGTGAGCCTATATATATGAATGCTTAATGCACAGGAAATACTTGAAGTATGTTCCTTTGCTCAAAGTCTACAAACTTTAGGCTGAGTAAGAGGAATAGGCCATATACCAAGACTACGAACTCGGTAATTTAGAGAGGGATTTGCTGTATGTAGGATTTGCTATAAGAGACATTTTTGCACCATTCGCTGACAAAATACTTGAAAGTTATCGTGAAATAGAGCTGAGGAAACGTGTATTAATTATATCGGATTTATAATATGGAGCTGAAATGGTTCTACACTGTGATTGTTATACAAGGGTTATCATCAACAGCACAAGAGTTGGCAGTGACACCTACATCCTCAGTTCGAAACAACACAGAGGTGTCGACGACTGCAGACGCATCATCAATATTGCGTAACATCACTGCCGGAACTGCCGCATCTGTTGCAAGGTGTAACGTGACCGACATGGATGTCAGAGACAGCATCGACAACAACGAAACTATGAACGACAGCTGTAACAACACTGCGAACGAAGACGAAAAGCAGACCAACCCATTCGGTCTGATCCATTCTGGCAGTGTGACAGAGGCTACATACAAATCCTTCGTCACTGTGACTGACTACATCCAGTTCCCATGCTCGGTAATAGCCCTCGCCACCAACATCTGCAACGTCATCGTGTTCTGTCAGAAACGGATGAAAAGCCCGTCAAGTACAATCCTACTAGCTCTGTGCGTTTCCGAGCTCCTCTACCTCGTCATTTTCATGATCGACAGCATCATAAACTTGATATACAGCGCCGAGGCTGGGACTAAACGCATCAAACTATTCTATGGCATCTACATTAACATTTTCGTAGCTGTGGCTCTCAGGAGAGTTGGATTTTGTTACACCTGCCTGGTGTCCGCTGAGAGGTTCATAGCTGTCACGTTTCCCCTTCAAGCCAAAAGTATGCGTCTTGTGAAAAACCCAGGTGTCGTCTGCGCACTAATTATGGCGGTTTGCTTAATAGCACATATCTTCAGCCCCTTGAAATTTGCCGTCATATCTTACCTGGCGTCCGACAACACAACAGCGTACAGATCCCAGTATTCTTCAATGTATGTCAAGGATAAAGTTCATTTTGAAAACTCCAGTATCGCTAGTAAAGTTATATTTGTGTATTTGATGCTTTTCGGATGTCTAATGTTCAATCTTCTAATTGTAATATCACTCCGACGTCACAGCAAGGGGAGACAATCGATTAAGACCAGCCAGAACTCGGGAGAAAAACAGAAGATTGAGATGCAGACGACAATAACCATCATGGCGTCAACCGTTGTCTTCGTCATCCTCGCCCTGCCTTCCAACACCAGCTCGTTCATCGCTAACGTCAACGACGACTACGGCTTTTACACCAGAGAACACTTCCTTTTCCTGGTCATGAACAAAGCTGGAGGTGTTTGTGAGCTTGTCAGTATGTTTATTGATTTCATCTTCTACATTGCTCTCAGTACAGCTTTCCGGGAAACCTTCGTCCAAGTGTTCATCCCATGTGCAGCTCGCGGTAAACCTGGAAAGAAGATTGGGACAGGAAGTGCCAGACTAGGCACAATATCAACAGGCATCTCACGTTCCAACTGAACATCGGGCAATTGACAGTGGACGCTTGTTTTACGCAATATTAATCGCAGAGGAACAGGTACTTGTGACAAACAAATTAGTTTCACTTGATTGTGATTGTTCTTCATTTCGACCTTGTTTCCGAACTTGTTTGACCCACCAATTCTAGTTGCTTTGATGTTATTGTCTATACTTTGTTATGTGCCCGTGCAACATATTGTTAAACGATGTCCCTCGGCGTACTTTCTGTTACCATTCAGTGCAGGTTCACGACTGTCTGCATTAGCAGTAATGTGTTGTAAGGAATGTATTACTTTCAAATGTAAGCACTGGTATTTTTATGCTTTGGAGTCATGTGTAATGTCGAATCTATGGAATAATCTTTCTTGGAATAGAATGATCTAAAAGGCAATTCTTATAAAACATGTAGAAAACTATATCAACCCACATGACATGAAACCGGCGGTTGCGTGAACGTTTTATTTTCACCGTGGATATCCAGCCTTGGTCACTTTGCTTAACAGCTTGACCACCATTTCTGCAATTTCTGTATCATTATCATTGTCATCACTGCAATTTTATACTGCCATAGCAATTGTACTTCCTTTGAATTGTGTATTACCTGTGGCCTGCAATCCAGCTGGGGTCCATGCAGGTAGCAAAAGTAATGTCCCCATGGTTCCTAGTATGGTGATCTACCTTCAGTTGTTGGCGATCTATAGCCCGTGTTTTATACTGTATTGTCTTCTTTAATTGGAATGTTTTAACTTTGCTCACTAGTTTTATATTCACATCTGTGATTCTCTAGTATTTTCACTGTCAATCGTCGACAGCTTTTAATCCTCCACATGTTTTCACTTTTTATTGTATATATTCTTTCCGTCACGATATGGCTGAGATTTTGTGCCGATGTGACCTTAAACATTAACTCACTCACTGTGGCCTGCACTGTACTACCGTTGTAATTACCTCGGAGTATTTTTGTGTTCATTTTGAAACCTTGTTAATTACCCAGCCAAACAAAGTTTGGGTGGTCTAGAAACAAAAACAAAATGTCGACTGTTTAGATTTATACAGTGGTCACTATCGCCAAATGGTGAGCATACTAGGTGATAAATTTTCATAAATCTATTCTTTGCTCATACAATTCTGGTGTCTTAGTTGTACCATGTACCCTACTCCGCTACTTACTAATACCATGTACCCTACTCCGCTACTTACCGGTACCGTGTACCCTACTCTGGTGACATAGCTATACCGTGTACCCTACTCCGCTAATTAACGGTACCGTGTACCCTACTCTGGTCACTTTGCTGTACCATGTACCCTACTCTGGTGACTTGGCTGTACCATGTACAATACTCCGCTACTTCCTAATACCATGTACCCAACTCCGCTACTTACCGGTACCGTGTACCCTACTCCGCTACTTACCGGTACCGTGTACCCTACTCTGGTGACCTAGCTATACCGTGTACCCTACTCCGCTAATTAACGGTACCGTGTACCCTACTCTGGTCACTTTGCTGTACCATGTACCCTACTCTGGTGACTTGGCTGTACCATGTACAATACTCCGCTACTTCCTAATACCATGTACCCAACTCCGCTACTTACCGGTACCGTGTACCCTACTCCGCTACTTACCGGTACCGTGTACCCTACTCTGGTGACCTAGCTATACCGTGTACCCTACTCCGCTCCTTCCTAATACCATGTACCCTACTCCGCTACTTACCGGTACCGTGTACCCTACTCCGGTACTTACCGGTACCGTGTACCCTACTCTGGTGACCTAGCTATACCGTGTACCCTACTCCGCTCCTTACCAGTACCATGTACCCTACTCCGCTACTTACCGGTACTGTGTACCCTACTCCGCTACTTACCGGTACCGTGTACCCTACTCTGGTGACCTAGCTATACCGTGTACCCTACTCCGCTCCTTACCAGTACCATGTACCCTACTCCGCTACTTACCGGTACCGTGTACCCTACTCCGCTACTTACCAGTACCATGTCCCCTTCTCCGCTACTTACCGGTACCATGTACCCTACTCCGCTACTTACCGGTACCGTGTACCCTACTCCGCTACTTACCGGTACCATGTACCCTACTCCGCTACTTACCGGTACCGTGTACCCTACTCCGCTCCTTACCAGTACCATGTACCCTACTCCGCTACTTACCGGTACTGTGTACCCTACTCCGCTACTTACCGGTACCGTGTACCCTACTCTGGTGACCTAGCTATACCGTGTACCCTACTCCGCTCCTTACCAGTACCATGTACCCTACTCCGCTACTTACCAGTACCATGTACCCTACTCCGCTACTTACCGGTACCGTGTACCCTACTCCGCTACTTACCGGTACCATGTACCCTTCTCAGCTACTTACCGGTACCATGTACCCTTCTCAGCTACTTACCGGTACCCTGTACCCTACTCTGGTGACCTAGCTATACCGTGTACCCTACTCCGCTACTTACCGGTACCATGTACCCTACTCAGCTACTTACCGGCACCGTGTACCCTACTCCGCTACTTACCGGTACCATGTACCCTACTCAGCTACTTACCAGTACCGTGTACCCTACTCTGGTGACCTAGCTATACCGTGTACCCTACTCCGCTACTTACCGGTACCGTGTACCCTACTCCGCTACTTACCGGTACCGTGTACCCTACTCCGCTACTTAACGGTACCATGTACCCTACTCAGCTACTTAACGGTACCGTGTACCCTACTCCACTACTTACCGGTACCGTGTACCCTACTCAGCTACTTAACGGTACCGTGTACCCTACTCCATCACTTACCGGTACCGTGTACCCTACTCCGCTACTTACCGGTACCGTGTACCCTACTCCGCTACTTACCGGTACCGTGTACCCTACTCTGGTCACTTAGCTGTATAATTCAGGAGTGCAACACTATTTTCCGATGTAGCAATGCTACAACAATTCATGATATTATAATGACGCATAGTGGAATACACAACGATACATTGTATTGTAAAACCTTCACAAAGATCCTTAGATAAAGATGACATTGTGTTCTTGTCTAATAAAGCAATTTTAATTATATAAAACGTATTTGTTGTTATTTATTATCGTTATTTCTCGGTGAACGTGTTGTTGGCTTGCTTCATTAGTAAAATAAGTCATTGTACGCAATTGCATATATCGATGCTCATTCTGTCGATCACTGTATTGTCTGGACCAGACTCGATTATTTAAAGACCTCCGCCATATAGCTGGAATATTCTTGAGTGCGGCGTTTAACCACAAACAAACAAACCAAATATACTAGACCATTTTCAAGGAAGGATTCTAATCGTACTAATTGATCAATATTACTTCGATTTTTTCCGGAAACCACAATGTATATTTGTAATTAAGTTATTGGTTCACAGTTACCAAATTAATCTTTCATTTGTCATTCATTCCATGGTTTTAAACATACAACTCGTTGAAGACCTTGTACAGTCTTATAGTGAGAGAATATGTAGTTTTTAGATGAGTCTCTTGGACGGCTGACGGCTGAGATTCCTGTGTCAGTAATTGTATCTCATTGAAATTATTTTTCACTCCTCCTCAATTCCACTGCAATTGGACCATTGGGTCATGGTGGCTCAGTGATCTGCCTTCAGTTGTTGGCGATCCTCAGCCTTATTTTATATTGTATTGTCCTAACTTGAAATCCTATTTTAGAGATATACGCTAGTTTTATTTCCTATTACTGTGATATACTAGTTGATTTTACTGTCCTTCGTCGACAGGTTTTTAAAGTTTGCGCATTTGTCATGAATTTATAACTGTCTTCAGTCACGATATGGCCGAAATACTGCCGCTGTGGCTATAAACTTTAACTCACTCACTCACTCATGGTGGCCCAATTGGCGATCGTTCCCGTAGATGTAAGGAGGAGCTATATTATTTCAAATTATTGTCAGATTGTGAAAAATATATCTACTGTATTAGTATAGCCACTTTTGAGAGATCACTGTTACAATTCAGAAGTAGTTTTTGAATTCGTATTTTAATTCCTTTAGAGAACAAAATTTAAGAAAGGGAAACTGTCTAATTGATGACAATGAAGCAAAATGATATTGCTTGCAATATATTAGGAACTGAACATAATGTTATCTTTGAGTGTTTAAGATGCGCAACAGAAAGGGAAAATAACAAATAAACAAAAAGGGTATTTATTCTTTCAGTTCACATTTGCTCTGTCTACTACACAATATGACCTTTTGTACAGGTTCAGTAAATTCCTGTTCGCAGTTTTCCTCATTGGAATGAATGGACACTAAATAATATTGAAACGCAAAAAAAGTAAAGCGCTCATAAAATATATTTGATTTGATTGATACAAAATGGCATATAGCTTTATGTGACACTCACATATTTCATTTGACAGCAATGTGGTCACTTGGAATTGTCGTGATAAATTAATACTCTGAACGCGGTCAAAACATAATCAGATAATCATTTTGGTAATTTTTCACTGAATTTAATTGTTGCGAACAACATGATTCTTGTGTATTGTATGTATCACTTTATTCAATGTCCATCTGATCAACATGTCCATCAATTTCCAGTTCTAATTCTAATATTCATATTCAATTCCTGCATGTTGCCTTTTACAGTAGATTAACTGAAAATCGTAGAAAAATAAATAAGTTTTAGGAAATAATAAGCCATAAACAGAATTTACTTGCTAAATGAGCAAATGGCTGTACTGCCACTTCCCAAACTCATTCAAAAGACAAAAGCACAAAATATTGTTATAATTATGTTCCTTAGCACATTTGAAAATGCAATAAAACATTAAAAGCATGAAAACGTCTACAAAAGCACTGAGAAAATGTTAACCTTAAGCCATGAAAACATGTATTCACATAATTTTGACCAACTTACAACTTGCCACAAAAGTTACCAAATAAAGCAAAATTCCTGCACAAAAATTACCATGACTTACATGAAAAGATAGATTAAAATTACCTTAACAATTA